CATATTAAGCACTTGTATCTGTATCTCATATATGTTCGAGTATCTATAACTATGCATTTGTATCTGGCTGTGTGTTTTCTCTGTCTGCTCGTGCAACGCTAAATTTATTCATAGCTTCCGCTTTTTGACTCATCATCATTGACTTGCCATGTTTTGACTATATGTGTATCTTTAAGATATAACCAATTGATAGCGGACTTCGAGACCATATAGAAAATATTTATTATATCCATATATCTATCTATTTACGTTTATACTTTGTATTTTGCGTCAAAACGTCACCGGTTCTTGATTTATCAACGGATTTAAAAAAGCTTTAAATGCTTAAATCATAAAATTTGCAAACTCGTCACTGCGGTGCAGATTTATTTTGCAACTTGGGTCTGTTTGTGCATTTTCGAATAGATAAACGCATTTAAATTGCAAGGAAGTGCAAACTTGCCACCACTGCGAGTAGTTCATGGCTGCTGCCCGAAAATTTATGTTGACAACGTGCTGGGCCACCACGTCACCGCTGCGATACCCCCACCATCCGAAAAACACCCGAAAACCAACCCAATTCCCCTTCTTTTCCACGACGCCCAGCTGTGAGAGTCGAATGAAATGACCAAACCAAACCAGAAAGTGCCGTGCGCTTATTAATGGGTCATGTGTGCAAAGCTAAAGTTTTTTGTAGACCCCTCTAGACACTTAAAAATATGGTTTCCCTTTTTAATATTATATTTTTCACCTCCAGGGACATTTTAATTTAAACATTTCAAATAAAATTAAATAAAATATTATTTTTAAATATTATTTTAATGTTTTGTGCTTAAAAAAAATTATATTTATAAATTAAAGAATGTTAGCTTACATAACTTTCATTGCTCTATTTAAAAAAAATATACTCGTATATTACTTGTTATATTTTATAAAAGTTCATCTGCTTAAATTGACTTCTAAAAAGTTGTAGCTAAAAGATACAATTCCAAATGAGTAAAACAAATACCAATAGGTTTTATTTGGAAAGTGAATTTCTAAATAAATTTTGTTGAGTGTTTTAGGAACTGTAGCAGGAGAAAGTATAGGGCATAGAGCATCATGATGCGGAGAAGGAGGAGCACCCTATCTTTTACTACTTGGTCCGTTGCCCGAAGAGTTCGGACTGAAAGTTTCGCTGCCCTGTGGTGAAAAGTTTTTGGGTAACGATCCCCTCACATTCTCAGCCTCTTTCACATTCGCCCACAATCCATTCTTCTCGTCGTAGTTCATTTTTGGTAATTTCCCTCCTTTGGCTAAAGCAAATTATGAGCTTCATTTGCATATTCGCTTTTCCAACAGTGAGGAGAGCAACAAAGGGCTGAAATTGAAAACGCGATTTGCACGAATTTACAATCGCAATTTACATAAGCCCTACCCTACCAAACCCCCCTCCCTTTTCAAAAGGTGTTGCCAAATGCATAAATCATTACAGAGTATGTACACACACACACACGCGCGCATCAAGGACATGGTACAACAGTGCGTATTGTTGATTTGAATTTTGAAATTCCATCGGCGAGTGGATCAAAAATGGAAAATGCCAATGTAATTCTAATGAAGACAGCTGTTGATGCTTCTGCCGTGCAAACAATAAATTCTGTTTGCCATCGAAGTACAGGAAATTATGCCAATATTGCGTATACGCAGGGTAGGAAATGAAGTGGTTTGACTTGGTGAAGTTAGGTGTAGGTACTAAGTATGGACAAATCTCAGCGGGTAAGTTCTATTTAAGCTTTAAGTTTTCCTGGAATTTTCCGCGTATCTGATAAAATCAACAGAGCGTTAAATTCAGCCTCTGTCATTGTAATTGTCAATTCAGCGAAATCACCAAACCAACGCAACTTGACCCAAAACGTAGTCAAGTGCAAACGGAAAACGCAATAAGAGGAGATTTTACTGGGAAAAAAATGGAGAAAAACCCGCTGGGTCCCTGACGTAATTAAAGCCTTGGAACAGGCGGAAGTTGCTAAACAAAAAAAAAAGGGGGAGAATCTGGGTGAAAAAAAAAATTAGAATGCGTCGCTCTACCGTAACAATACACATCCTGTTGCTGGATGGCAAAAAGGAGCGGCTTGTTCGACTGGGAAATTAAAAGTACCACAGCAACAGAGCTTAAAAACAAGCCAAAAAAGACAGAAACAAAAAAATTGGAAGCGAATCAGGTGAAAGGGCGACAATAATTGGAACAGTAGAACGAATCCCTTCGAATGTTTTCGCCTGTGCCAGTCTGCAATATCGCAGCAATGTGTGTTGCAATATGGCAGCAACATCGCAGCAGCAACATCAACATTGCAGCTGCTGCTGTGCCACAATAACCGACTAGCGATGGCGACAGCCACAGAGCAATTTTAATTGATTGTGGTCTTGGATGGCGAAAGAGGGCTGCCATTTTGAAAGGCAGTATAAAACACTGAAATTGTGGTGTAAATAAAAGCGCATTTGGTAAGGTTTGGGGGGAAGTCCACCATTTTTGGATGTATTTAATATAGTATTAAAGGTTTCTAAATTCGGTGGCAAATTGACTGTGAAATATGGATTTTAAAGTATAATATAATACATAGGATATTACAATCTATTCGTAAGCTCGATGTGTTATAATCATTTTACATTGCTAAAATATACACTAAGATGTATAACTGCTAACATTTTCAGATGGTATATGCTTATAAAGTAATCCATTTGTATTGATGTCCAACACTAGGAGTGAAGGATCAATTTAAAGTTCACCTGATTAAGCACACATGTCAGCTGCGAAACAGTGTTCATTTTCCATTTAATTAAACCCGTAGTTTGTGTAGTATACTTTTCCGCGTTGCGGTTGCATTTGCAGCCAAAACAACACGAATGCCCTCTGCCAGTTTTAATTTCTAAACATAAATTTCAGTGCAATTAATTTCCCGCAGTTCTCCCCATTGTTGTTGTTGCGTGTTTCACGCCATTCTATTTTCTTTTTTTGTTGTTGTTTGTTTTTATTTCAGCTGAACAACTTTTTTATGTCATGAAATTTTTAGCACCTTTCTCCACGATTTGCTGGCTTGTTTCGCATATCGCGTATCGTTTGTCAGTTGTGGAATGTGGCAAATGTGCCGGACTCACGCATTCCGCCAACATTTTTGAAAATCCTTTTGCCACGCCCACTGGATCCAGCCCCGCCCTCCACTTTTGCACTTGGGACAATTTTCCGGCGATTGTTATCGCCAGTCGTTTGTTAAAATTGCACCCGCAAGTTGCGTCAAACACAATGGATTGAAATAATGCCTGCACAATTGCACTAACACAACCACGGCTTAGTTTTCCCTCCCTGCCAGTTTTCCACGCTGCGCTATTATAAATAACAAACAAGAAAATTGTTTATAATTACACATTAGGAGATAAAATATTGCATGTTGCCGATGTTGGCAGCCATTTGCCGCGGGCATGTGTGTGTGACCAATTTGTTGGCGCGACTTTCGTAAAAATGCCTCTCTTTTTGCTGGTCATAGTAATTGTTTTGGCTGCAAGTCCACTCTTTATTTTATTTTTTTTATGATGTGTTATATGGCGCTAAAGTGTTGTCATTATCGTCGATTACGAATGCGATTATATAATAATCGCCAAGGGGGCGAAAACGATTACGATAATTTGCAGCCCTGAGGATTCAAGGAGTCTATCGTTGAATTGAAATGTTCATTTATAATTGAGAAATATTTGCAAGTAAGATTTGAACAATGAAATGTATTTCACAAATGGCTAATCATACACTTCTGATGAAAATGAAATACATGTAAGCACGTTTTTCATTCGGAAATTACTCAAATGGGTACACTGAAAAATACGGTACTAATGAAAAAGTTTCTACATAAAATATTTATATTTTTTTATTTCTCACGTTAAAAGAATTCTGTTTTGAAAACGGGATAGTATAATTTCAGATTATAAAACTTTTCTTTACCAAGAAAATATACCTTTTCACAAACCAAAAAGGGGTAGTGTTGTAAAATTACAAAAAATATTATGATGCATTTCATTAAGGATCTAGTATTTTTATGAAAGCAATATTTAACCAAGAATATTCTCCGTGTGGGAACCCATATAGAGACAGAAACCATAAACACGTACGCTCAATTGCTAGCACATTAGAGACATTAAAGGTTCCGCTTCTCCCCATTTAATGTTCAGCAAATTGTGGAGCAAATCTATCCAAATACATATGTGTATGTGTGAGCAATAAAATTATAACAAACATGGACAAGAAAACAATATAATTGCAGCCCAGAGCACAGCAGGCCCATCCAGGGTCTCTCGACTGGCGAAGGCTGCCAAGTGCAACAGGATTATCCTTCGCTTCCAACTCTTCATCCCCCCAAAACACCACAGGCCATTGTTTTGCCCATAAATATGTTTCCATAATATGTTTCTAATTGTTGCGTTCAATGACCAACATGAGGTATAAGCCAAATGGAAAGGGCCTTGCGGCCAAACAGATTTAAGATCTAATTTGAATCCTAGAGAGACTGTAGTTATCGATAAAACAAGGTTTCTCTACAATTTTATTTAATAATAATTAACTAGTTATGTTACAACAAAATAAATCATTTATTACAAGATCTAGAAGTTACAAAACCATGAATACACATCTCTAAAGCTGAAATTATAACATGTACAGGACACAAACTATGACATCTACTAGTTTAATAGAAGGACAATTAATTTTATTGAATTAAAACAAATTCTGCAATATGCAATGTATGTAAGCCAATTATAAATTTAATCATGTGAAAATCCAACTATAACATTTGCTAATTATAATGAGTACATATGGTTTTAATTTTAGCCAATTAAATAGTTTGGTTTTGTCTTTTTTTTTGAAAGAGCAGACACACAGAGTTTAACAACAAACACAATTGAATTAAAGTTTGGGGTTTTATTTGGATTGTCGTTATAATATTGGTTTTATGCTGAGTATGGGTTTTGGGATTGATCAGCTGGTTAAAGCTTACCTTGTGGCTGCTGTCAGGCAGGCAAACGCTTTAATGGGTGTCTGAAACCTGCAATGTAAAAGAAAACCGGAAAAGAAAAGAAGAAAAGTTCGCCACTGGTAAAACAATTTTTTCAAATTGATCTCGCTTAAACTGCTCTCACATTATTTGGTATCTTTTTTCCTTATTGGGTTATTGAGTAAACACTGTTTAATATGGTTTTAGGGTTTGTTTTTGCTTTTCAGTTACTACAAATGGTTGCAACAAAACTAGGTATGTATAGAGGAATATAAACGAGTTGACAACTATAGTAGTTTTTTTATTTTTTGTTTTTGGATGGCCGACCACGTGTTAATTAAAATGCATGGATCGTTATTTGGTGGTTTACTCAAGTGGGGATGTGGGTCTGATGTTTGTAAAATATTTACAAAATGCACAAAATATTTTAATTGCCAGTCGAAAGCACGCAGAAAATTATTTACATGGGTTTTCGCAAGTACTTCTATGGCCTGTCGAGTGGATCATCATTGAATTTGATTTGTTTAAATGCTCATCAGCTTGCTGATTGCATAATTAAATTATGCATACGAAATCCACTGTGACAGGCTGAGAAAAAAATGTATATAAATGCAACCTCAAAAATGTTTTTTCAACTACATCTCCGGCAAAAACTACATGTTAAGCTATAGGTAATTTACCAATACATATGATGTTCAATGCAAACTTATTTCACTTTATGCGGCTAAGAGAATTATATTACTTCCATATTACACATACCAAACCATTTAATCAGGAGAGTTATTTACACAACAACTGGGGACCGTGTTAAAATGCATAAATGGAAAAAGTACATATAATTAAATGCGTATGGAATTAATAAACCAATGTAAGCCACGCTAACAACAAGAACATAAACAAGGTCTAACGGGTTTGAGGGGAATGGAGAGGTTTACAAAAATTCCTACGATGCCAACCAACTCAACTCTGATTTGCGTAAAATAACCAACTTTGTTCATATTATTTTTAATTATTAACGGTCTGTTTCGGTTATTTATTTATGCTGTGGGGGGCAAAATAATATATAAAATATACAGAAAATCGTAAAAGTACTTTGCTAGGCACACAACATAAATTACACAGCACTACGGCACACCGGAAGACAAATAATAAAATATGTACATCAGCAAAAAATCATACATATGTATTTATTATTTATTTAAAAGTACACTTTTCATGTTTATTTTGTTTAGTGGGGGTGTGAGAGATTTTTTATTTTAAATTTAATTGCTATAAATATTGAACCTTTCGCTGGCCGCGGGGTTTTGTAAAGTTGTTAAGCAATTTGTTTTGGATAATTGATGGTGAGAGGAGACCAATTGGGTTATGGTGGATGAAGAAGATGCTAAACTCTTCCTTTAAACTTATATTGCAGAAAAATCTTAAAGAGCTCTTTAAATATTACTTTGCACACTTTTTAATTTTATTAATAGCCTCCTCATATTTCCTACCAAAAAGGGTTCAGAAATATGAAACTTTCCCTAACATATTAAATTGAAATAAAGTATCCTCCAGCCTTCTAATGTATCCAACAGCCCTTTCACTTTCCGCTGGCTTTTCCTCCTTCACCTTTTACTTGTGTATGTGCTGGCATTTTAGTTTTAGTTTTCCGCCCACGAATCTAGGCCAAAATGCAAGTTTTGCTCCTCTAGATGTGACACCAAAATGTCAACAAGTCGACGAGGCGTGGAGGCTCGACTGAAAAGGCTAATGAGAGAACGCATCAGGCGGAATGGCCCGAGGGACGTACTCATTTGTAATTAAGAGCAGGGGCTTCCCACATATAATATACGTATATACGTAGGATTGGGATGGAAAAATATCCAACGTTAATATAGAGAGAAATGAAATGCAGATTTCCAGCCGCTTCTAATTAAGCTACTACTTTCGGTGGCCATTCTAATTAAATAAAATCCAGAGGCAAGCTAAATGAATATTTGATAAGCCGCCAGAAATGGAGATATGAACACTGGAAACACTGGCAGCTAAAAGTCTGTATCCCAATGTTTTGCTTGCCCCTAAATGGGGATATATTCAAAACGGACAGCGACTATCGGGCGGAAAGAATCTTTGGCAAATTGTCAAAACAACAGAAACGACAAGGAAAACATTTTTAATTTCCTGCTATAAATTGTATGCAAATGGAATAGATTTTCCCCTGATAAAAACTTTCAGCCGCAAAATGCTGGTTTTCAATTTGGATTTTCTGATATGTTAATTTCGATTTTGAGGGCGTGGTTGGATGGTCTATGGATTGAATGGGTTGTTAAGAACTACTAAGTACGAACACAAAAATGTAGTGGACTCAATTACAGGTTGGTAATGTGAAGAGAATGAGGTGGGTTAGGCTTTGAGAAATATATGCGAGTATAATATATATGGGGAGTACATAATTACGGAATTAGTGGATCTACATGGGGGTTAGGGCTTACACGCACACGCACAGAAACTACAATGGTCTCTATGGCTAAACCTTTTGCACGATGTTTTTGAGCTATTTTTAGAGTTGTCAAGGGTTGTCGCTTACCTGAAAGAAAGAAATAAAATCAATAAGTACATTTTATTTATAATATAATGTTTTTTTATTTAAGGACATATCTTAAATAATTAATTTTTATGTAAAGATTTATATTTTACAAGGTTTTAGTTTTATCAATGTTTTTTCTTTAATATTTATGAACCTTTAAGTTTGCTCTCTTCAATCTTATATACATATGCACTTCCTATTTTGCATTTACCTCTACACTTTCTGAACATTTGCATATTCTCAAGCGCCCAACTTCCCGATCCCCTTGCATCCACCCAGCAAATTGGCATTAAAAATGTACACGCAATCCTTTTAATCGATTTAACCGTGAATAAAAGGGCTGCAAACCGGAGGCTCCGGGTTACCAAGTGCTTTATAAAGCGTTAGCTAAACGTTTTTGTCGGTTTGTGCATCAAATATGCATATGCAAGTAGATGGAGTGCTAAGTAATTTAGGGACTTCCCCGAGTTGTCGTGGTTAATTTCCTGAGATTTTTAACATTTACCCGTGACAGGTTAATGATTTGTAAGCCCCTACCCTTTTCTACCATTATTGCAGCTTGATCTATTATTATTATTTACAGAAATATGATATTTGTATTTCTACATTTACAAACAAATCTTCCAATTATCAATGCCAGAAACCGCAATCTATTCAAGCCCGTTGGCATACAGATTAAAACATAAATTTATCCATTTTTGTTTCTCACTTTTTGTATGCCACAAATCGGATTTGGTGGATTTTTTTGCACCACACGTTTGGATATCAGCATCTCACTCACTTTCGTTTTGGCCCGTCGCACCATTTGACAACTCTTTCGGGCCATATAAAAGCCGTTGCAAATGTCGGTCTATTACAATTTTTCGCTTTCAATTTTTGCGGCATGGCCCCGAAGAGCTTAACTCATAAATCTGACACTTGGCCGGGGAAAAAGAAATGTGTGGGACTCGGGGGGAAGTTTAACATTCATCGATATGACGAATTGTAACTGGCACGAGTTTTGCCCTCCCCATTTCCGTTCCACCATAAACTGCATTTTAATTGCTTTTTTTTTATTTTTATTCTTCGTTAAAGTCCACCTTTCTCGCTCACCTTGGGGTTACAATTCGAACCCGCAGCTCAACTTGGGAACTGAAAAAAAAAAAACATTTGCATATAAAATAATTCGCTGCCATCGGTCATATACAGTATATAAATTATATAGTGTGTGTTTTTTTCCCGAAACGGAAACACATTTATAATTGCACATAAAACCAAAGCCGTTTACAGAGCTTTTGGGCGTGTGGATGGGTATGAGATCTTTCGATTTCCCGCCTGACTTCAATGTTTTAATGATTCACTCACTGCCGGCGGGTTCCACGCATTCAGCCCCGATATGCATACGTAATTTCCTGCTCGATTTTAACCGAGGACACAGGGACTGACACTCGACTGGCTGTCCATTTTAATGGTGACATTTAATATGCGTTAATTATGCCATTTATGGGCCGTTTCGTTTGGGTTTCGGGGCATATGCGCTAAATGGTTTGTCGTTAAAAGGTCTCATCCACTTTTTATCGCACGGCTATGCAAAGTTACACCCAAATCAGCCCAAATTGCTTTCGACAGGTCTTCATTGTTTCGCAATTTAGTTAAATAAATTTGAATAAAACTCCGCTAAAGATAGATATTGGCGAATAAAAGTTTTTAGTTGGTAAAGGGAGCCTTATTTGTATTGAATGACTCTTATTAAATGTTTTTACCTATAATTTTCCTTTACCTAATGGAAAACAAATTCTTCCCATCGTTACAATACCTTAAAAAGATAAAAGTTCTTACTCTAAATTCAGATCTAGTAAACCCCTCCATTATCGCATCTCAATTACAGCAACAATAGTGGCAAATAATTGAAGTCAGAAAAGAAATTGAACATATCAGATGCACAGATACCAACACAAAGTCTAGCACAAATAAGTATAGTATAGTCTACTTTTTGGGCAAAGCTTTCACGCTGTCGAAGCTCAGCAAATTTTTATCCATGCCGAGATCTTACAAATACGAAAATAGTTTCATTTTCCCCAAGCACACTCCCAAATATTTTCATACATATATATATATATATATATCTATACTCTGTAGGAGGGAAAGGGAACTGTGGGTCAGAAACTCTGGCTTAGGGCGGAAAAAAAACACGTAAAACGGAAATGGAGGGTGTTTGTCTGTGTGTGTGTATCCGAGTATCCTAGTATCTGTGTGTGGGGGTCGGGATATTCGAGGCGTAACGAATTGGCGCTGTGCTTTTCTGTTGTTGCCATCGTTGTTGGTGTTCCCATTGCCATTATATTTGCGGCAGGAGGATAACTGAAACGCCAGTCCCAAGCACAAAAGTTGGCAGCACCAACAACCGCAGGGGAAGTGGTGAAAACCAAATGTGAAATATAAGTAAAAAAAACTATCGAAATTCACACGAACTTTTGATACTTTGGGGCACTTTTCGTATATTTTA